ACTACTCATCATCGTCATCATCATCATCAGGGTCTAATGATGGCAACATTTACAACAGTTAAGTCACTACATAATTCCTTACATAGAAAAAAACATGATAAAGACACATTAGTGAAACATCAATAACCTGTATATAATCGGATAATTAATTAGACTTGATTATTGGATTATTTACTGGAATAACATCAGGTCAGTGAGAGGCAGACAGACATTCATTTGAGTCGTGTGAAGACGTGGTGTACAAAATCCTGTTCGAGGCACAGGAGCAGAACAAACCCAGCTGGTACACTATAGTCACCAAGAAGAGTGTTGTATATCGTGAGTTATAAAGTGGTGATCCAGGTAGTGGAGCTGGTGCAGGTGGTGGGCAAGGGCGTGTCTCTTAACTCACCAAGTTCAACACACCGACGCGATGGGCCTCCTCATGTCGCGGAACTTTTGTAAATATTGTCTAATTCCAGAATATACAGTAAATGCCACATTGACTCTGCACACAACATGAGTAGTTTTCATAAATAAATATAATATATACATAGTGTATATTTTTTAGACATATAAATCACCGGTTAATTAATACAAGATATTTTTTCTCTAAAATTACAATGTGTAATTTACAAGTCTAATTTAAGAACATACATTGCAGTAAATACAAAAGAATATCCAAAATTTCAATCAATCAACAGTCATATTAAGTTATGCTAAATTGAGTCTAACAATCTAAAAAAAATTAAAAAAATATATCATACAGATAAACAGAACGGAAACTGTAGTAAGTAGATTGAAAAAAAAAAGCTTGTGGTGGCGATCCATTCGTTGTAGAGGAGATCACAGCTGATGATGTAGTGGTGAAACTGAAGAAGTAATTGGGAAATAAGAAAACATATACATTGTACAGCGTCATAGATAACCAGCACTCATAACCAACTGAAAGATATAAATCAGTATTAACCAGAATATAAGATGTAAGCTTTCGCGACTTAAGTGAATAATAATAATAATAATAATAATAATAATAATAATAATAATAATAATAATAATAATAATAATAATAATAATAATAATAATAATAAAAATGTTCTTACTCTCCAGATAATCCACAAGACAGCGAGCTTCATATTGCCAGTCTCTTCAATACCACATCATAGTACACCTTGGTCTGGTCTCAGCCTGCTGGGAGACACCGAGATAAAAACTTGTTGAGGTATTGATTAAAGTTTCTCTCTTCTAGTCTCAGTAAAAATGGACAGTGGTGAGGACCCACTTCGTCGTGATAAAAGAGTCGTCACAGTAACTACCGACTCTCAACTCGTAGCTGAACTCACTAACCCCACACAGGCAGAAACCTTACCCCCTTTCCTTGATGCTCGACCCTTGTTTTATGAGGGAAGTACACTGCACCCAGCTGAGGAAGTGAAATAGTAGAGAGAGAGAGAGAGAGAGAGGAGAGAGAGAGAGAGAGAGAGAGAGAGAGAGAGAGAGAGAGAGAGAGAGAGAGAGAGAGAGAGAGAGAGAGAGAGAGAGAGAGAGAGAGAGAGAGAGAGAGAGCGAGAGCGAGAGGAGAGCGAGAGCGAGAGAGAGAGAGAGAGAGAGAGAGAGAGAGAGAGAGAGAGAGAGAGAGAGAGAGAGGAGCCTCCTATCAATGAGCTGGAAACCCTACCTCAACCAACTGAAGAAGTAGAAGTATTCAAGATGAGGCGGTGGGTAGGGCCAAGTGGCTCCTTGAGAGAGAACTGTATAGGAATATGGTATGGACAAGAGCGACCCGAGGCCTGTTTAAAGGAACGAGGAGAGAAGGAATTGTCTGCCACACACACACACACACACACACACACACACACACACACTCCTATCCTAGACCTACAGAGGGATAATAGAGGTAAAAGGATTCCCAAGCTCTACTGGATAATGGAGTAGGATTACCTGGCAGATATAAGAAGAAGGAGAAGTAAAAGAAGAAGAAGACGACCTGGTTGATCTAGAAAGAAGACGCAAGATGAACCAGTGGATGACGATGAAGAGGAACAAAGTATATGTTTCCCAACTAGTCTCTGAACCACAGATAATGAAAGACTAATCAAGAGTGATAAACCTCAGCCATTCGTCCACTATAATGGTCACTACCTTTGTATAGTGATAAATTGCCTCACTACAACAGAACATAATATAAAGTAATGAAACAATATGTAAGATTATTAAAAAAAATCTTCATATCTAATGTAGAAAGTTATTTAGTAATCGATCTTTATGTAGCATTTAATAGGATACAAATTATCAGTGTTGTTTGTCCTTTGAAGATTGTCACTTAGAAAACAACAGCTTCTTGTACAGGTAAGTAAAGGTAAATACAGATTATTAAGACACGGTAAATAAAGGTAATTAAGGCACGTATTTAAGCTTGGTGGAAATATTTACAAGAAAATTTTTGAAATAAAGAAACAAAAACATCACAAAAAAAAAACACTCACGGCAGAAAGATGATAAATTCTTGCAGGAGTCTTTACTTAATGTTATCCCAGAGGTCATAACTTCCCTTGCGGTTGTCTTAGTAACTTTTAATGGTCGTGGGAGTTGACCTTTCCCATACACCTGTAGATATTTGAGAACCACTCGTCCCTATAGCTGTGAGTCTGCTTGGGCTTCCACTCGGCTATGGTCGTATCAGGAGCCGAAGTCATACATGAGGGGAGTTATCGATCGTCTACTTTTTACCATACAAATATATCTTGGTCACTAAACTCATCTGTATCTGGGGAAAACTTTCGGAATATTCACATTATAACAAAACGTTTGGTTCTATGTAAGCACCGTAAATACTAGATAACGTAAAGACAGACAATAAGCGCTGTAGGTATTAAAGAAAACAAAACCAACATCCAATCAATAAAGCAACATTCAACACCTGCAACAGATGTCAACACCAGGTTCCCATCACAGGTATAACAGGTGTCGTTCCCAATCACTACCACATGTGCGGGATTTTGACACACGTGATCACTCTACTTCCCACAGGTGTAATACAGGTGAGGAATATCATCCCCAGGTGCTTCATTACACATGCTCTCACCCAGGTGTGTCCTGGTAAAATTACAGTTAAATCTGAAGTGTTTGTTTCACCTGCCGAAGTGTTTGTCATACCTCCTGAAGTGTTTGTTGCACCTGCTGAAGTGTTTGTCGTACCTGCTGAAGTGTTTGTTGCACCTGTTGAAGTGTTTGTTGTACCTGTTGAAGTAGTGTTTGTTGTACCTGCTGAAGTGTTTGTTGTACCTGTTGAAGTAGTGTTTGTTGCACCTGCTGAAGTGTTTGTTGTACCTGTTGAAGTAGTGTTTGTTGCACCTGTTGAAGTGTTTGTTGTACCTGTTGAAGTAGTGTTTGTTGTACCTGCTGAAGTGTTTGTTGTACCTGTTGAAGTAGTGTTAGTTGTGCCTGCTGAAGTGTTTGTTGTACCTGTTGAAGTAGTGTTTGTTGCACCTGCTGAAGTGTTTGTTGTACCTGCTGAAGTGACTGTCGTATCTGTTGGAGTGTTTGTTGTACTTGCTGAAGTGTTTGTTGCACCTGTTGAAGTGTTTGACATGCCTGCTGAAGTGTTTGTTGCACCTGTTGAAGTAGTGTTTGTTGTACCTGCTGAAGTGTTTGTTGTACCTGCTGGGCGACCGTCGCATCTGCTGGAGTGTTTGTTGTACCTGGCTGAAGTAGTGTTTGCTTGCACCACAAGTGTTTGTTGTAACTGCTGCATGACTGTCGTATCTGTTGGAGTGTTTGTTGTACTTTTGCTGGCTGTTTGTTGTACCCGCTGAAGTGTTTAAGGTAACCTGTTGAAGTAGTGTTTGTCGTACCTGCCGAAGTGACCGTCGTATCTGTTGAGTGGTTGTACTCTACATGTTTGTTACAATCTGTTGAAGTGTTTGACATGCCCGGCTAAGTGTCGAGCTGCACCTGCTGAAAAGTAGTGTTTGTTGTACCTGCTGAAGTGTTTGTTGTACCTGCTGAAGTGTTAGTTGTACCTACTGAAGTGTTTGTTGTACCTGTTGAAGTGTTTGTTGCACCTGCTGAAGTGTTTGTTGTACCTGTTGAAGTAGTGTTTGTTGCATCAACTGAAGTGTCGATTGGATTTATTGCCGACGATGGTGTGGTCAAGGAAGACGGGTCGGTGCCTGGAAAGTAAACAATTTATTTGGTTGACGTAACTATCCCGAAACTCGAAGATGATGATGAAGAAGATGATGACGATGATGAAATAGGCGAAGATGATGATGAAGAAGATGATGACGATGATGATGAAGTAGGCGAAGATGATGATGATGATGATGATGATGATGATGATGATGATGATGATGATGATGATGATGATGACGATGACGAAGTAGTCGAAGAAAATAAAGCAAAATTGGCGAAGAAGCACTATAAAAGAAGACCTTTTTTCTGTTACATTGTAGCTTCCTTCGATGAAAAGAGCTAAAAATCCTTCATAACTCAACTAAAAATCACTTTCTTAAATCCATATGCGTTTCAGCAGCTACACTTAAGTATGATTTTGTTTGCACTACCCTATCGTGGAAACTATTAAGTGCATGAGGGAAGGAGAAAAGTTACTGTAACCCCCTAGTCTTGCAGATCTTAAGCAATTGGTTTTTGTATCATGGGTGTAACAAGCACCCATCAACTGTTGGAAAGAAAAAAAATGTAACTTGCCTCCCACGGTTTTGGCTACACACACGAACCCTCCCGAACAATGCTTCTTCTTCAGCGCCTTCCGGGAGTAGGTCATCTTGAGAAAGTTGGTGTTCAGATCCATGTCTTGAGGAGCGTCCCGTATACAGTGGGTTAACCTGGCGTACACGACACAGGTGAGGACAACATCATGTCTTATTATTTCAGGTTAATTATTGTCAAGAAGATTGCTGTTGATATATCATTAAATTAGAATATTGTTTAACATGAATGAAGTGTTGATGCTCTGTGTGTGCGCGTGTGTGTGTGTGCGTAAAGAACAAGCGATTATCTCACTTCTTCTTGGTCTTGGTCACGCCGGTAAGCACAATCTTCTCCTTTGCGCAGCCTAACTCGTTGAGGTTGAACTGAGGACACGTGAAGGTGATCGTGGTGTCAGCTGGGCCCTGTCACACAAAAAGCTTATGATGTCTTCCAGTAGCCAAGGAAAATAAAATGGATCGAAGTAATATCACAAATTTCAAACTCTAGTTAATTTTTTATGCATTAGTATTAACCATTAGGTGTATAAAAGGCCAAATATTGATATGAGATACACTGTAAAGGTTAACTTTACACATATTGTTTATCAATCACGTTATATTGTCCAGGTTTCGCAGGGTAATCTACCTCCTTTAAGTTGAAGGGGGAGCTCAGCTATTTTCAACACGATAAGTATTTATAAAATTACTTTGATCATGCAATTTTACTACTCTCTATTGACCTTTTATGTGACTGGGAAAACATTCTTGATCACCAATAATATAAAATTTAAGTAACCGAATCACCATCTGGTAATATACAACGAGAAGGAAAACATTATCACCACTATACACAGTCGTACCTTCAGTGTGGCTTTACATTTCTGTTTATCTCTGGTGTTGCTGGTAAAGACGACGACTGTCTCACCGTAGCCCAGGGTGTAGGAGGCCTCACACACATCCAGGTACTCTGCCAGGGGTCACCAAACGCTCAGTAAGAACTCCAAGGTCACCACAGTATCATTATAAGGTCAAGTGTCAACGTGTCTCGTCAAATATACCATTGAAGATTCATAACAAACTCGAAAGGTCAAATAAGAGCATCATCCAAAGTTCATAGGTCACCGAGAGATCATAGTATCATCCTTAAGGGTTTAAACAGCAGATTATAATAGGCTCTTCAGGGATACATAAGAGGGTGTAGGTAGGTCAATCAGAGGTACATAAGAGGGTGTAGGTAGATCCATCAGGGGTTCATAAGAGGGTGTAGGTAGATCCATCAGGGGTTCATAAGAGGGTGTAGGTAGATCCATCAGAGGTACATAAGAGGGTGTAGGTAGATCCATCAGGGGTTCATAAGAGGGTGTAGGTAGGTCTATCAGAGGTACATAAGAGGGTGTAGGTAGGTCAATCAGAGGTACATAAGAGGGTGTAGGTAGATCCATCAGGGGTACATAAGAGGGTGTAGGTAGATCCATCAGGGGTTCATAAGAGGGTGTAGGTAGATCCATCAGAGGTACATAAGAGGGTGTAGGTAGATCCATCAGAGGTACATAAGAGGGTGTAGGTAGATCCATCAGGGGTTCATAAGAGGGTGTAGGTAGGTCTATCAGAGGTACATAAGAGGGTGTAGGTAGATCCATCAGGGGTTATTTACAGGTGTTACGTTCTTGCCTCTAACATCCTAACCACAGTAATTTATATCGTTTAATTTTAGGTAATTTTTTTTTGTATGTTAATTTTAGGAAGATTACAAGTTTAATTATTTTGTATTGGTGATGGTGAGTAGATTATGCCTTAAATTACAATAAATAAGCGTCATTATTGTTAATATTATTATTAACTAAACCATTTATATCTTTGTATCTAAAAGGAGAGAGAGACAGAGACAGTAATAAAGATGTAGACACAGATAAGGGGTGAGATACCAAGTGAGAGAGAATGAGAAAGAGGCAGAGAAAACGAGGGAGAAAACGAAAGAGAATCAGTGACAAATAAAGAGAAAGTGAAAAAAACAAGGAAAAAACGAAAGAGAGAGAGAGAGAGAGAGAGAGAGAGAGAGAGAGAGAGAGAGAGAGAGAGAGAGAGAGAGAGAGAGAGAGAGAGAGAGAGAGAGCACGGAAATAAAAATATTCTCTGTACTCACACATAAAACTTACTTATATTTCCGTAAGTGAGTTTGTTGTCCAACCCTTGTTTCCTGTTGCCCTCGCTAGTGTAAGTTGTCGTCTCTCTCTCCTTGTTTCCTCCCTCTTTCTTCTTCTTCTTTCTTCCATTCTTTTCATGTTGTTTTCTTTTCTTATATGTTATCTTGTTTTTTTGTTTCTTTTTGGATTTAAGTCCCTTGTTTGCTTTCTTTGATTTTCCGTCTTTTAATATTTCTTGTTTACTTTTGTTCTTCTTTGACTTGTTTGATTTTCCTGTTTTCTTGTGTTCATTCTCGTTTACTTTTTCCCTTAATGTTTTTTTCCCTTTTGATAATTTCTTTGATTGGTTATTTTTCTTGTTTATTGTTGATTTCTTGTCCACTCTTTCCTTCTTCGATTTCTTTTGTTTTATTGTTTTCTTTGGTTTATTTTCATTTCTTTTCTTCATAATTTGGTTTTCTTTTCCTATTTTCTTATCTTTCTGTTCACGTTTCTCTCCCACACCTTTCTTCTTAAGTTCATTTTCTTTTTCTTCGTTCTTTGTTTTATTATCTCGTCCTTTTTTCTCCAGTTTCTCCATCTCCCCTTCATTCTTTACTGGTTTCATCTCTTCATTCTTCCTTGTTGTCTTGGATTGTTTTTCTATCTTCTTATTTTTAGATTTATCTCTTTCCTCCTCTTTCTCCCTCGTTACTTCCTTGTTTCTTTTCCTTGTTTCCTGGTTTCTTACTTTCCCTGGTCCATTTTCCTTAATATTCCTTCGTGATGGCCAAGTACTTTTCTTTTCATTTCTTCCGTTATCTTTTCTTTTGTCATCATTTTCCGTTTTCTTATGTTTTCTCTTGATTGTCGTCCTTTTTCCTCCATCTACACTTTCATCTTCATTTCCACGACGTTTATCACTAGTTTTTATCTTCCCTTCATTCTTGGTGGCATCACGTTTGTCCTCCTTATTCTTGGTACGTGTGTCATCTTCTTCCTTGCCTCGTGTGTCTCTCCTACCTTTATTATCATCTCCATCACCACTTCCCTCCTTCACCAAAGCGTCAGTATCAGCCGCCCTGAGGCTTCGTGTGAGTAGCAGGTCGTTGTCCACCTCATTCACCACGACCTCCTCAGCCTCCGTCTTGGTCACCCTCCTACTTGATGTTTCATCCTGGAGGATAAACTTTATGCTACTGAGATGTTCCTTGTTGATTGTCAGTGTCTCTGTGATTCATTTTACGTCACTCTAAGGTTTGTTTTACGTCTTTGTGATTCGTTTTACGTTACTGTGATTCGTTTTACGTCGGTCCATGATTATTTTTACGTCTTTGTGACTTTGGATGTGTGTCTGTCTCTCTGCAACTCTGTATTTTTGTTTGTGAATCTATCTCTTCGTTCTTGTCTCTCTCTCTTTGTAACAAATCCCCATCTATGTTTCTGTCTCTCGGTCATCTCTGTCTGTGTTTCTGTTTCTTCATTGTTGTTTCTCTTTCTTTCTGTGTATGTTAACCTGCCTTTTCATCTCTTATTTCGTGTTTATCTTCTGTCTGTCTGTTTGTCACTGATACTCACCCTGAAGAAAGTGCCATCCACCAGGTAAACCAACAACACCAGCAGTATGGCCCTCTGCATCTGGCACAAGAGAAGAGAGAGACATCATGTGATTATCTCTCAAGCCATGTGTCTCTTACTGTAATTTACAAAAGGAGAAAGAGGAGACATGGCTACAGGTGAGCTCATCATCAGGTTCTGGACGTTGACAAATGTGGGGTAATTCACAGGTGCCCAGGCGTAATTGAGGTATTTAGAAACAAGTAACAAGACACTAGTTTACTATATTTAGCCCATCCAGTGCGCTCAACACCCTGGGATTTTATTCTGGTAACTGCAAGACGATTTAGTTCGGCTTAGAGAAAACCATCCACCACCGAGAGTGTTAAATGACATGTTTTGTTTTTACTATTGTTTAAACTATACGGATGACTTATACTATATGACACGGGTGGTTTAAACTATATGGATGACTTATACTATATGACACGGGTGGTTTAAACTATACGGATGACTTATACTATATGACACGGATGGTTTAAACTATATGGATGGCTTATACTATATGACACGGGTGGTTTAAACTATACGGATGGCTTATACTATATGACACGGATGGTTTAAACTATACGGATGGCTTATACTATATGACACGGGTGGTTTATACTTTATGACACTGATGTTTTATGTGTGTATACGTGTTCTTAATACATGTTACACTATCACCAAGATTACACAGATAATATAAACACAGTGTCAAAGATGGTGGTTATGAGATCTCTAAGCTGTAAGACACCTGTGCCACCTACCTTGTATATACTGTCCTGAGGTCGTAATTTCCTTGACGACACCATCAAGAAAATCAAGGAAAACAGAACAAGTTATATGCTATTAATATCTACATTGTGTTGACACCATGATCAATCACCATACCTGAAGATGAAAGGTGATTGTGTCCGTGATTGCATACTTTCAACATATTGCATGACATCCAAAGGTAATCCACATATTGACGTGTCTCGTATATATTATTATTCATCGCGTTTCGCAATATGTATTTCTCAGCTCAAGTCGATAGGAACGCCAGTAGAATTTTGGAATGTAAATTTGCTCGTTCCACACCCCGTAGCCTGACAGAACTGTAGTGTGGTGGGTATATGGTAACACTATATCGGTATATGGGGGGTGTAACGGTATATGGGGTGTGTAACGTTATATATGGGGGCACTGTAACAGTATATGGGGTATTGTGTAACGGTATATAGGGGGGCACTGTAATGGTCTATGGGGGCACTGTAACGGTATATATGGGGCATTGTAACGGTATATAGGGGCATTGTAACGGTATATGGGGGCACTGTCACGGTATATGGGGCACTGTAACGGTATATGGGGCATTGTAACGGTATATAGGGGCACTGTAACGGTAAATGAAGGCACTGTAACGTTCAGATATAGGAGGACACTGTAACGGAACTAGCATACTCATAGCTCATATAGGATAAAAAGTTAAAATATATAAGTACATTATATGATTCGTGGTGCATAACGCCACTCCACAACTCGGATATAGCTGGATACTTATAGTTCAATATTTGTCATAACTCACCAATAATTCCTAATACATTTCTGAATAAAGTGGAAAGTCTGAATGTGACTGACAGACATTTCGGAATATAACTGACAGCAACACACGGCACAAGAAAACTGACGTCTTTTAATAGGGTCGTCAAGTTGTAAAAAAAATTCAACTAAGGAGTAAATGGCAACACATAATAAGCCAAGGAACGACGGATATTGCAACATTGAAGCCGTTTACCTGCAATATGTTTTAAAGCTTCGTGTTATAATGAAGCTGGTAGATCACTTTTTTTTTTTACACTGGTTAATAACTAGCGTGGGTGTTGTGATCTTACCTCTCCCGACCACTCTAGTAGGATAACTCTGATAACTCTCCCTGGGTATGTCTTCAGTGTTTTACTTTCGTTGTGGTTGTGAGAACTGAAACTATCCATCACCTGGTTCTCGGCAACAACACAGGACGACACAGGTGCAAGTAGCAGGTGTCGAGGCAGATGTCAGAGCAGGTGTCGGCCAGCTAATAGAATCGACATCGACAGAAAAGCCACACAACAGATCTATCAGAAATGCGTAAACGTAAAATGTCAGAGGAGGGGTGGGAGGAGGGGTGGGGTGGGGAGGTGAGAGGGGCCATAGTGAGGGGCTGAGGGATAATGCATAAGGGGGTAGTGGAGCTTTGTGTGCCGCCGCTGACATCATGATAAGGTCAGTCCTGTCGTAAGGTATTCATCGTGGTTGTGATGGATACTCCCACCCATCATCCGGCTACCTTGCTGCTGTACGTCAACACCTGTACAGTACTAACTTCTCGCCCTGACGCTAGCAAAACCTAACCTAACCAAACAGGTGTGTGTGTGTGTGTGTGTGGTAAAACAAAACGGTAAAAACCTAGATAGGTTTCAGACTGTAACCTGGATAAAATACCTGATAAAATATACAATACCTGATAAAATATACAATACCTGATAAAAAATACAATACCTGATAAAAAATACAATACCTGATAAAATATACAATACCTGATAAAATATACAATACCTGATAAAAAATACAATACCTGATAAAAAATACAATACCTGATAAAAAATACAATACCTGATAAAAAATACAATACCTGATACAAAAGAATACAATATATACAAGATACAAAGAGACAATAAACAAGGCATGGCGGACCTCATACAGTGCCATACACACATACAATCTTCAGTATATATAACACACCTGTAATTATACTGTAGGTAATATAATACACACCTGGATTATAATGATGATGATGATTATACTTCTACTATTACTACTACCACTACTACTACTACTACTACTACTAATACTAATACTAATAATAATAATAATAACAACATCTAGACAGTCTCAGTAGCACAGGTAACAAGAACTCGTCCCAGGTAAAGTAAACAACCGCAGGTAATTAGTGACTTGTGGCACTGCTAGGTCACTGCTTAAATTAATACCGGGTTCTGAATTAATCTCATTATCACCGACGTTTTCAAAGTTGTCACGAACGCTCAAATGTTTAACACAAGTTGAGGTCTGTGTTTCCCTCCCAGCTTAGAGCGAGTCATACACCAACCTCCTCCCCCTCCTGCTGCTGTTTGTGTTTCATAGTTAATGTTTGTGTTTTAGTACCAAGATAAACACGGTGTGGATGGTATAGCCGTGTGTGTGTGTGTGTGTGTGTGTGTGTGTGTGTGTGTGTGTGTGTGTGTGTGTGTGTGTGTCCAAGAAAGCCCATACATTCATGTAAAAAGAGGCACGCAAAGACGACACACACACAAAACACATTCCACCCCCTGCCCCACACACACGGGAATACAGTACCTACACAGACCCTGGCGGCAGGAGTCAAAGCTCACCTGTCCACGATGAAGGAAATAAAACGCACAGGTGTAATTAAATTATGTTAATGTAATCATAAAACTTTAGGACACTCGTCTGTTAACGACCAACTAATAATTAACGAACAGCATTTTAACGCCGGTCTCTGTGTGGTCCAACTTTTGACTGTGAATGCTAATGGAGCGGTCTTAAAGTTGTTTGTGTGTCGTGTTGGTGTCTGTTTGTGTGTCGTGTTGGTGTCTGTTTGTGTGGTGTTGGTGTCTGTTTGTGTGGTGTTGGTGTCTGTTTGTGTGTCGTGATTGTGTCTGTTTATGTGTCGTGTTGGTGTCTGTTTGTGTGTCGTGTTGGTGTCTGTTTGTGTGTCGTGATGGTGTCTGTTTGTGTGTCGTGTTGGTGTCTGTTTGTGTGTCGTGTTGGTGTCTGTTTGTGTGTCGTGTTGGTGTATGTTTGTGTGTCGTGTTGGTGTATGTTTGTGTGTCGTGTTGGTATTTGTCATAAATTTTAAAGTGTGTGTGTGTGTGTGTGTGTGTGTGTGTGTGTGTAATAATAATAATAATAATAATAATAATAATAATAATAAACGGTTTATTGAAAGAGCTTGGCAGCCAGAAGGCTGAAAATATACAGTTACATAATTGGGGAATGGGTTTCGAATTACAAATAATATACAAATAACATAAGTGATATAAATAAGACATATAATAACTAGATAGTAAAGCTCAACCACAGTTCATTTCAATGATAGTGACAGTGAAAGAAGTAGTATTTACTGGGAGGAATATACTGGTTTATTACAAGTTATTGATAATTTTACAAATGGTTGGGGACTGGGCTGCCCGTGAGAAGGATCAGTCTGTGCACGATGGGTTGGATGGCTAGGTGTCGAACAGCACTCCCGGCAAGCGATCCCAGGTGAGGTGTGTCGAGGATGGTGCAGAAGCTTACCAAATTTGCAGATGAGGTCGTGGTGATGGTCAGTGAGAGTCGAAAGGGTCAGTGTGTTGAGCGCTTCTTGATATGTGGAGTAGGAAGGGGAGAGAATAATCTTGCATGCCCTCTTTTGCACTTTTTCTAGGTGTTTACGTTGTGTGGCATTTAGGGAGGAAGACCAGGTGGGGAGGCATAGGTGAGCTTGGGAAGTATGAATGTTGTGTAAACACTGAGGAGCTCGTGTGCAGGAACTCCGAGGGACTTGAGTCGGCGGAGGAGGAGGAGACGGAAACTGGAGGATTTGACAACTTCACTGACGTGTGGTTTCCAATTTAGTTTGTTGTCTATGGTGACGCCGAGGAGCTTCTGGAATCTACAACCTGGAGTGTGCTGGACCTAAAGTAATGGAAGGGGGTGGGACAATGTCGGAGGAGAGGTTGATGTGCATAACCATGGTCTTGGTATGGTTGATGGTGACGTGGTTGTTGGTGGCCCAGTTTTGGAGACTGTTCAATAAATCCTGAAGGGTGGTATAGTCGGGAGCAGAATTGTTGACGCTGATCCCAATGGTGGAGTCGTCGACATATTTCCAGCGAGCAGAGGTTTCTCTTAGGGCATCATTGATAAGCATAAGGAAGCAGAGTGGTCCCATCTTGGTGCCTTGGGGGACGCCACAGGTGAGTGACTGAAAGGTGGAGACAGCCCCTCGGAAGCGTACAGCTTGGCGTCGGTGTGTGTATGTGTGTGTGTGTGTGTGTGTGTGTGTTTAAACTCGTCAACAAACCTACACCAACCCCACTTTGAGAGCCTTTACGAGAGCATACACAACTTGTTCAACATCTGAGCCACTTAGAGCACAAAGAATTCTGTAAACCTTCTATCGATAATTTCAAAGATCCCAAAATTCAACAAATCCTGCCTCCTTCTCCTCTCCTCAAAACTTTCTGTACATTCAACTTGCCAAATTCCTCTTGAAAACTTCGCTTCTCTCCTCATCCCCTCAACTCGGCTCAAGTTACAACTGATAAGAGAGGTAGGTAGGTAGGTAAGGAGGGAGGGAGGGAGGGAACGAGGGAGGGAGGTGAGGTAAGGTGAGGTGAGGTGAGGTGAGGTGAGGGTTTACAACATACAACAACAGTGTGGAGAAGTTTAAATGCCTCTCCGCCTGGAACACCTGACTGTTTACCTGTGTAGTCGAGCATTTAATATTTTTCTAAAGTCTTTTTTCAGTAAATGTTTATAACTGCAGACGAAGCCGGTGGCGGGTGTTGATTGTGGCAAGGATTATAGAGTTGCTGGAGGTGCTGTGTTTATTTTTATTATATTTCTAAGTCAGATAAGTTCTTTATTGACTTACTGACTAACCCATCTACTCATTGATCGATTTTCTGCAGCAGGTCTTACGATTATTGCCCCAGTAATATCCTTCCCTACAGTTTTGTTTATAAGTTAAATCCATTATCATAAAAAATAATGAATTTCCTCATAATATATAAAATAAATAAATTCATAATATCAATGAATCTTATTTTATGTAATATTCAAAGTATTACTTAAAAGAATAAACATTAATAAAGGAGTATGATATTTCTCAAGTCTGAAGCAGGCATTACGGTCTCCAACAGTATCTTCACGGTGAGGAACGATGAATTTCAAAATAAACACTGAGGCTCCTGTTGGATCGGTAGGGTTGTCAAATCCTTCGTCCGTTGTGTCATATTGTCTCACACAAAATCGTTACGGCACTTTATATATAAGAACATAGGAATGGAGGAAACTGCAGCGGGCCTATTGACCCATACTGGGCAGTCCCATTTACACCCAACCCCTATTGCTTATATATCCATCCAACCTATGTTTGAAGCTATCCAGCGTATTCTAGTTAATGATGATATTTGGTAACTTGTTCCACTCATCCACTACTATATTTCCAAACCAGTGTTTACCTATTTCACGCCTAAATCTAAATTTGTCTAATTTAAACCATTGTTACAAGTTCGCTCCTGATTGGATAGTTTGAGTACCTTGGTAATGTCCCCTTTGTTCAGCCCTGACTTCCATTTATACACCTCGATCATATCGCCCCTCACAGATAGATTCAAAGAGACAGCTAAAAAAAAACGGGCAAATAAATAAAGAAAGAAATAATATGAAAGAAAAGTACACAATCGGAGAGAGACAGACAGAGAAACAGAGAATAACTTAAAGGGATAACTCAACTAAAGTGAACCGTCATACAGTACAATTTAACTGGACAAACAGACCTCTGGCGCGTGGTGAGCGCAATCACACACACACACACACACACACACACACACACACACACACACACACACACACACACACACACACACACACACAGTTCAATAACACGACTCAAGCTCTGCCCTAACCTTGTCATTACAGACAGGACGAAAGAAAGGAAAGGAAAGTAGAGAAGGAAAGAGAAGGAGAGGGAGGAAGGACTTCAAGATGGTCTTTTCAAATTATCCACACAATTCTCAAGGTCTTTTTTTTATATAATACACTGAGGGGGGAGGGTTAGGGGGTCTTAAAGGGCCAATTCTAAGGTCTTTAAACACCATTCCATACGTTTTAATTTTTTTTATTCATGATGATTATTTTTTT